GCCGGGGTCGCTTTCCGCGGACCGCCCTCGGCGGCGCACCACCGGAAGTGGCCGAGCGTGGCGGAAGTGGCCGAGCGTGGCGGAAGCCGAGGCTGTGGGCGCCGCCGGTGCTGGACGAGCGCAGCCGCCGCGATGATTCAGGCGATCCTGGTTTTCAACAACCACGGGAAGCCGCGGCTGGTCCGCTTCTACCAGCGTTTCGTGAGTGCGCCCCCCGCCCGTGCGCCTCGCCCGGCCCGCGGCCCCGCGCGCTCGCCCTGCACCCCGCGTTTCTGGGGTCCTGGGGCTCGGGCCCCCAGGCCGCGCGGCTGCGCCCCGTCGCGACCTCCGAGGACGGAAGCCTCGTTCATCTCGGCCGCGGGTGAACCCGGCCGGGGGGCTCGGCGTGGCCGGCGCGTGGCTTTCGTGCCAGCAGGTGCGGGGCCCAGACCCTCCGCGCCGGGGCGGGGGCGTCGGTTTGTCTCCTAATGTCGCGTGTATTTCCTCGCCGATCCTCCTCTTCAGACGGTGTGCGCCGTAGCCCGCCCCCAGCCGCCCGCCCTCGGCCCTGCGCCCGTCCCACCCCTGTTCTGATCCGGTTTCCGCCCCCCAAGAGTGCCGCCGCTTTACAGCCGCCTGCTGATTTTGGTTTTTCGTTGTGGTGACACCTCCCCGTCGCCCACTTGGACCCCCACGTCCTCCGATAGGTGAAGCCTCCGGGTATTTTTCTTTTTCTTTCTGGCGCATTTCACTGAGCATCGTCCCTTCTGGCTCCATCCATGTTGCTGCCAACGGCACGCGTTTGTCTTTTTGACGGCCGAGCAATATTCCGTTGCATATTTCTTCCACATCTTCTTGATGCATTGTGTGTTTTCGGGTGTCTGGGTTTTACCCATCGCTTGCCTACTGTGAATAGTGCTGCAGGGTGCAGGTTTCCTTTCCAATTAGTGCTTTTGTGTCCTTTGGGTAGATCCTAGGAGTGGAATCCCTGGGTCACCAGGTGGCTCCTTTTGCAGCCTCTGAGGGCCCTGCGTGGGTTTTCCACTGGGCCTTTGCCCTCGGCCAGCAGCTGCGCGGTTCCTGTTTCTCACACCCCCCCCCCCCCCCCCCCCCCATTCGTTGTTGCTAGTTGTTTTAACTTGCCCCTTCCCACCCATCTCATTGTGGTTTTGATGTGCATCTCCCTGATGACCAGTGATGTTGAACTTGTTTCATGTGCCTGTTGGCCGTCTGCATTTCCTCTTTGGAGAAGTGCCTTTTAGCTCTTCTGCCCATTTTTTTTAACGGGGTTGTTTACTTTGCTTTTGTTGTGTTCTGTCAGCTCTTTGTACATCTTGCTCAGCCCTTCATCATTAGCATGGTGGGCACAAGTTTCCTCGCAGTCTGGTGTGTCCGTTTTGGCGAATGTCTCTGCCGTACAGAAGCTTCTTAATTTGGTGTAGCTGTTTGTCTTTTCCTTGGCTATCTTTGTTTGGGGGGAAAGGGGTGTCTTTAAAGGAAAGTGGGTTTAAGGGAGGGAAGGATGTGAAGTCAGCACCAGCACCCCCAAGATGTCAGTGCCCCCGCAGAGGCTAAGGGGTAGGGAGTGTTCTGGAAATGTTCTTTGGGAAAGCAGAGACGCCCTTGCTTTCCTCTTGCCTTGCTGCGCAGCCTGCCTCTGAGATGGCTGGGCTCGTAGATGTTACAGGCTCGGCGGTCTGGCCAAACCGAAAGGAAGAGAAAGCCGGAAGCCTCGTGGAGACCTCAGTGGCCCTTCTGACCCTGGTGTCTGTCGAGAGGTTCACAAAGCTCTTCCAGACTTTTGTTTCTTCTCCTCAGAAGCAAAAAGAAAACTATTTTATAACAGTTTGTTTTTACATCATTTTTTTTTTTTGCCATCTCAATTGTCATCCCCGCTGGTTTCCCATCACCAAGTCACCTGTGTGCATCACCATAATCCCGTGCATTTCCCTCCCCCCCCATTTTTGATCCCATTCCCCACTCCACCCCCACAAAATGTCTCTGGTATATGGTTGTTCATTATTCTTGCTATTTTCTCGCCTGGTCCATTATACTCCTGCTATGAGTGACACCATCCGGTATTTTTCTTACTCTTTCTGGCTTATCTCACTCAGCATGATCTTTTCCAGCTCCATCCAAGTGGCTGCAAAAGACATGTGTTTCCCTTTTTTGGTTGTGAGTAATATTCCATTGTGTATATGGACCACATCTTGCAAAAAGAAAACTTTAACTTTTACATCGGATTTTTTAAAGCAGGATTACATTTTATTAAGTAACTGTTGAGTTAAAATGCTGCATTTGGAAACAGGGCTTGTCAGGTAACAAAGCCCAGCTGAGTGCATTTAGAGACGTCGGGTTTGTCGCCGACTCCTGAGTCAGGCAGCCCCCACCGTAGGAGCTGCCCGAGGGCTGCGGGGAGGAAAGGATTTCTAAATGCAGCACGGGGGTGATTCTGAGCACAGGCGACCTGTGGCGAGGGCTGGGCGGGGCTGGGGGACAGCGCCCACCAGGAGAGTCTGCCGTGGCCATGACTACGTGCCCGGAGGTCGGAGGTGCAGGGCTCTAGCTGTCTGGTCTTGGTGGGCTTCCCTGGCTCCGATGTGGGACCCGTCATGTCTTTTTTAACACCTCAGCTTAACGTTGTTTGCACTTTGTGGATGTCAAAACTTACATTGATCGGCGATTAGCGGGTTTATTCCTCCAGGCGGTAAACAAGAGCCGTGTTGTCCAAGTTAGGAAAAGTAATTTCTACACAGGGCTCCTGAGGCGCAGGGTGAGTCTCTGCACTGCAGAGCTAGTGCCGGCCTCCGCGGCCCGCGTTGGCCCCTGGCCAGGGAGCCGACCCACCTGGCGAGGTGGACCGCTGCCCCCCCCCACTGGGTTTCAGTAGATCTGCTGTTCTGCTGGCCACGCCGTCTCTGGGGAGTCCTCCAACCCACCCCACCCCCACTAGCCTGTATTCGAGTGCATATATTCGTAGACATGAATAAACCTTAAAGACTAATCTCTCCACAGTGACATTTTGCCCCATTTCCCCATCTTTCTTTTAAAGAACTAACCATTTAAAACCAAAATTCCATGCTGTCAGAAGAAGGGGGTTAACATCACTTGACTCTTTTTTCTCAAGCAGACCAAATCTGAAGGTTTTCTTAAGCTTAACAGTGAGAAGCACTAGCCTGCAGCTTCTAATTACTTTCGCCTTAATGACTAGTTCTCCCTCCCATCATCGTTTTTTTCTTTTTAATTTAAAAGATGATTTTATTTATGCATGCCAACCTGGGGTACAGGCCAGAGGTGCGGGCCAGAGACAGAGCGGGGAGCAGATGGACTGAACCCCACTGCTGAGGGGGCAGCGGGGAGACAACAGGGGTCTGCTGCGGCCCGGGGCCCCTCCCTGGCTTGGCCCTCCGGCATTGGCCTGCAGACAGTGTCACTCATGGCACCGAGACTTAACCCCTGCGCCCCCGGGGGCCTCCCGTCATGGATAACCGGCCCTACGTGTGACGAGCCTCGCGGTTCACAGAAGCCAGAGTCCGCTGAGCGCGTCCGCCGCAGCTGAACTGTCCCTGTGTGGTAGCGCACATGCGTATCTGTAGCTCTGGTGGCGTCCAGCATTCTCACCTGTAAACAGAACTTCTGCTTTCTGAGCAACACATTTGCGGTACCACGGCGTCGGCGAGTCACGTGCATGACGGTAGCCCAGGAGCAGTGTGGGTGCCGGCGGGGCAGGTGGCGCCCAGGGCGGACTGCGTCTGCCGGGGCGCTGCTGCTGCCCGGCCCGGCGTTTCTGGGCGGGCAGACTCCTTCAGGACCAGGGCTCCAGCTGCCCTCGGCCTCGCGTGGGAGCTTGCTGGCTCTCCTCTCTGCTGTAGGGACTGGGGGCGCGAGACGTGGCCGGCGGCTCACTGCCCTGAGCCGTGTCTCGGCTTCGGCAGTGGAGCGGGCCTGTGCTGCGTAGGTCCTCCGTCCCCCTCACCGTTTTACCTTTTCTGGACACCAAAGACTCCGGTCCCCCAGCGCTCCCCGCGCATCCGCTGACGGGTGTGGTCTTGCAGGCGCCCCTTCTGACCCGCCTGCGCTCTTCCTCCACAGCCGGAAGAAATCCAGCAGCAGATTGTCCGGGAGACCTTCCATCTAGTGCTCAAGCGGGATGACAACATCTGCAACTTCCTGGAGGGCGGAAGGTACAGGCCGGCTTTTGTCTCCCCCGCACCCCACTGGGGGGCCTCCGCCACTGCTGCTTCTCCCGCAGTGCCCGAGCGGCGGCGGCACCTGGCGGCCGTCCGTCCCGGCGAGCCCTGCAGGGGACCCAGTGCCGCTGCGCTGTGCAGCAGCGGGCCCCGGCCACCCTCAGTCAGGCGGCGGCTTCTGGGAGGACGGGCGGGACACGTGAGGGTGGCTCAGGCCCGCCCGCCACCTGCTTGCCTGGCAGAAGTGGTCCCGTGGGGGGGCTCCTTCACCCCACTCCTGTCGGGCCCCTTCCTAGTAAGCGCTTCCGTCCTCCACAGTTTGATGGGCGGCTCCGACTACAAGCTGATTTACCGGCACTATGCCACCCTCTACTTCGTGTTCTGCGTGGATTCATCAGAGAGTGAACTGGGGATCTTGGACCTCATCCAGGTATGTGTGGGCAGCCAAGCGGCCGAAGCCCGGGAGCCTCGCGCCAGCCTCTGCGCCCGCAGGGAGGGGTGCCAGCTGCCACCAGGTGGCGCTGTGAGCACGCCGGAGCAGCCGCCCTGGCTCAGCGGGTTTGGCTCCTGCCGGGGCACCGCTCTGCTTTATGAAGACTCCGACGCCGCCCCCGGCATGCGTGTGTTTTCCCACCAGCATCAAGCAGTTCGCCTGCTTTTCCTCAGACAGCGACCGGGTGGCCGCAGGTCTAACTCGGTCCCAACCTCTGCCTGGAGGTGGAAGCTGGCTCCTCGCCCTCACTGGCTGGCTGCCCCCTCTCCAGGCTCCATCATTTGCTGAGAGCCCCTGGCACAGCGCTGTCCATGCCGGATTGTCAGCTTATTCCAAAAGGCTGTGACCCCGCAGCGGCCCGGGGCCATGTGGGAAGAGCTTCCGGGCTGCTGTGCTCTCCGAGGCCTCACCCCCAGAATCGCCCCCTGTTCATCAGCCTGGAGACTTTCCGGCCCCTCGTGGGTTTCGTGGCGGCTACCTGGCGCCGGGGCTAAGTCGCTGGCAAGTGACTCAGCCTCTCCGCTCCTGGAGGCCCTGGGTGGCCTGGCCGAGCCTCCTGGGAGCCAGCCCCGCCTGAGGTATTTTCCAGAAGTCACGTATCTGTGTAGGCAGAGGACCCCTTCTCACTTAGGGGAGGCCCAGGCCGCAGGAGCTCCATGCCGGAAGTAGGGATGACCGCCATATCCGCATTTACTAGTGTAAACTACGGTGTCAGACGTCTTTGGAAACTTTTTCAAATATTTAACCAAGGATTTAAGAAATGTATGTATTTTCACTTGTGATTCAGTCTTACAGCTTTTATGTTTTGTGCACTTTGGGCATCAGCGAACATGATTTCAGTCATGTTCTCTGAAGTGTCAGAATGGCTTGTAGGTTCCTTTTGGCACTCACGGGAGCAGAGACCAGGCGTTGGGCCCTTAATTTCTTCACACAGGTCAGGTGACTTGGACGAACCACGAGGGTGGAAAGTGCTCAGATAAGGGCTCTGTTAAAGGCTGAAACAGTGACAGAAAATTGGGTATAAAATGCAAGCCTTAAATACTTGCAGCTGCATTCTAAGGTAAAATTAAAGCAGCTTGATTACTGTACCTAGATGGACAGTTACACCAGGATCTTCTAAAAAGTGATGTTCTTGGCAACTTTTAAATTTTATTCATGCATCTGTAGCCACTCGTACTCAGGAAATGATTGAAAGTGATAGATAGCACATCCACTCACATATCAAGTGTAGGTTGATTTAAACGATTCACTTCTAAAAATAACTCGGAAGAGCTTCCTTAACACCTGGGCCGGCTTGTCACTGCCAGGGTGGCACAAGAGAAGGAAGCCGAGCCCTGGCCCACCCAGCTGTGGGGACGCGAGTGCAGAGTGCAGCTGTCCACTGGGCAACATAGCCCCGTCGGGGCAACGGGAAGCGAAGTCCGATTTTTCACGTTGAGTCGAGACGTGGCTGCAGAGAAGTGTCCTGTGGTAGCGGTACTGAGGAGACGGGCGACCTGTGATGCGGCGCCTGTTAAACACTCAGTGTGCGTTGGGTTTGGGAAGACGAGTAAAGGTGAGAAAAATGGAATATTGAGATAATAAGATTGACGAGTAAGAAGTGAAAATAATAGAAACTGAGAGGTTGGGTCTGTGAAAAGACAATAACAGCAGTAAACAGTCGGCTTGATCGAAAGAGGATGAAGTCAGGACGCAAGGGCGTGTTTCTGGGACGTAGTTACAGCACCGGCTATTTGAAGTAGCTGACGACAAAGAAACTGCCCATGTGTGCCAGCAACGAGCTATTTAATAGACGTTAGAGTGGAGTCACAAGGTGACTTCTTGTTGAGAAGTATCCGCTGTTAGAATCAGAGCATCCGGGAGGAGCCAGCGCAGAAATGACTCGCACGAAGGCTGCACCGCTCGCGTGTGTCTGCGGGCCGCGCTGGCCGCGTGCGAGGGCCTGAGCCACGCGGCGCTGCCCGGCACCGCATCTCCGCCTCGCTGCCGCCTCCCTGAGGAGAGCGGCCGGACCAGGCTGCGGGGCCGCGGGCCGGGTCAGCAAGGGGTTTGGCCTCCTGTGTGCTGAGGACCGGACAGCTCGGCGCTGGCTCTGCTCTCGAGTCCTCGCAGCGGCGCGCGTCCTGGGAGATGACTCGCCGTGTCCAGCCCTTGTCCCAAGCATGGACGCCACGAGGAAGGAGCTGTTACCGGAGGCTGGTCCGGCGGCGCAGTGGGTGCCGGCGTGACCGCCTGCTCGCCTCTCAGACGCTCTTGCGTGGCGTGGGCGCGTCTGATTCCTGACACGGTGTCCTTTTTTTGGCGTAAGGCGTTTGTGGAAGAAACAGTGCACGTGGTTGAACTGCAGACGGACACGCTCAAAGTGTCTTTCCTGCCCTCCCCCGCTCGGGCGGCTCATTTTTCTGAAGCAGCCAGCTCCGGTGCGAGCCAGGAGCGGGCTGTGTGCCCCAGGGCGACAGCGGCCGGACAGCGCGTCCTCAGCAGAGGTGTGCGGCGCCCTGAGCCTGCCGGCGTTCTGTTTTCTATCGAGAAAACCATCTTCGTTACCATTGCCGCCGCCTGCTCCAGTTAGACGACGCAGCAGATGGCCCCTGACGCAGCAGCGCCCCAGGTAGCGCTCCCTAGCTTTTCTTTCATGCTGTTGGAAGCCGCAGCAAAGGCCGCGCCCAGAAGTGCGCCAGGCGGTGGACACAGCCCTGGGTAAATCTCTAGCCCACCTGCAGCCTTTGTGTGTTCGAAAGCGAGATTCGTGAGCCAAGGAACTGAGGCAAGCCTGAGGGAGTGCATGACAGGACCTGACGGCAGCCCCGCCAGCATCACGCCCTTGGTATTTGCAGAAAATCTTGTTGTTGTTCTCTTGCCCCCAGCTCTCTTGAGGTCCAGTTGGCATGACGCGAGCCTGAGGTGCACATCCTGTTGGCTCGGGGCAGGTGTTTGCCAGGGAGCTGGCCGTTTCTCACAAGAAGTGTTTCTTTCTCTCTCACTTTTAAGATTTGCTTGTTTATGCACACAGAGGTGGGGTGCAGGCCAGAGGTGCAGGGGCGGTGAGAGGCTTCACCAGCGACAGAGCGGGGAGCAGGCCAGGCAGATCCACTGAAGTCCACTGCTGAGGGGAGCAGCAGGGAGACGGGGGGTCTGCTGCGCTCCGGGGGTTCACATCGAACTCGCGCTGCAGTAGCTCTGGTTAGTACCACAGTGCTGAGACTTAACCCCTTGTACCACCAGGGAGGCCCTAGAACATGAATTGTAAAAGAACATAAGTAGGATAAATACCGGCAGCTGGTGTTCGGGCAGGGAATTAAAGATCTCTCTGGGGGGTCTGACCAGTCCAAGGAAAAGGAAGTAAACTTGGGGCCCCCCAAATATCCAGGATTACAGAGCTGTCGGTCAGCCTTTTACTCTTCTGAATAAATAAACCAAAGGTGAGCAGCATCCAAAAGAAATCTGAGCTGGACGAGAGAGACTGAAGTGAAGAGACAGTGAAAAGAAGTGGGACCCTACAGAGAAAGGGAGACAAGCAGCCCGGCCCCGCCAGATGATACAGTGCGAGTTAAAACCCCCGGGGCAGGGGCCGCGGGGAGACCCCTACCTTAACTGCCGTCTGGGAAGGTCAAGGCAAGTTTGCAGATAGAACTGGGGAGCAGAGATGAGAAAAGCAGGTGGCCCAGCACCCCGGTGTAAACAACTGTGAAGTCTGGAGATGAGGAAGGGGGGACGTCCTCGACGTGACTGGGTAACGCTCCCCTCGCTTGAAGGCTGCGGCTGGCCTGGCAGTCGGGCCCGCCGGCGACAGAGCGGACACGGGGTCGAGCTGACGCACTCCGTCCTGTGCAAGTGTAGTGACGCGTGGCGCGTTCTGAGCTCAGCGTGTGTGGTGCTGCGTGTGTCTGTGCCGCTCGGCTGCCGGCCCGAGGCGGTGGTTGCGTGCGTGCGCCGGTCTGTGCTAGGGTGTTGCAGATGCAGGGGGCACACGGACAGTTTCCAGACGCAGATGTTTGCCCTCGCGTCCGTTTCCGCACGGCCACCGACTGCAGTGGCCGCCCGGAGAGTGGGTGGGTTCCAGCGTGAAACACCACGCAGCGCTGAGCAGCCGGGACAGGGGAGTACAAGCCACCGTCTGCGGCTGAGCTGTGACGATGCGCCAGCGCCCGTCCCCGGAGCCGCTCGGAGTGGGCGCCGCAAGGTGACAGGTGACGCTGGCCGCCTGGCTCTTCAGAAAGGTGGGGTGGCGTGTACCCCAGCTGCCCGTGCTGAGGTGAACACGTTCCTGTTTCTCCTGCCCCTAGGTTTTCGTGGAGACCCTGGATAAGTGCTTCGAGAATGTCTGTGAATTGGATTTGATCTTCCATATGGATAAGGTACTGTCTCTGCCGCCGGGTGCCAGCGGGCCACGCGCCTGCGACCGCCCCGCCCCCCTCGGCGCCCCGGGTTTTCTTTCCACTCTGGCCGCGTGGTTTTTCACTGGAGACCTGTTTCTTTATTAAGTGATAGTTTTAAGTCGTGTTTTGTTTCCGTGCTGGTGTTGGGGGGATTTTGTGCAGGCCTTTAGCAGGTGTTTAGACGCACAAGATCCCGCGGCACGTGCCACGTGTGGTTCCTCTGCACAGAGGCCCCCTTGCCGCAGGGCGGCGTCAGAACGCCAGGCCGCCCGGCACGGGGCTGTTCTGGGCTCCGTCTGACAGGGCAGCTCGGCGCGGGGCTGGCCGTGGCTAGGCAGGGTGGCGGCCGAGACGGGAGCGCAGCAGCGCTGACTCAGGCCGGGTCAGGCCGGGCGACGGTGGAAGGGTCCCAGCGCCAGGCCGTGTGACTGGCCTGACGGGCGTGACGTGTGCACGGGCCCCGCCAGCGGGAGGTGGTGGCCGGGCTGTGCCACAGAGGCGAGGGGCTGCGCCCTGGGCCCGCGCCGTTACCGACTCCAGATCTCGCCCTCCAGGTAGTGCGCAGGGTGGGAGTTGGGGTCCCTCCTGTGTTCCTGAAGGCGTTTCTTCCTCTCTGTATGCTAGTTTCCGCTTCTTGCCACTTCTTTTTAAAAGTATTTATTTTTGCATAGAAGAGCTGGGGTGCAGGCCAGAGATGCAGACACCCCAGAGACAGCGGGGAGCGGACAGGCGGATGGCTAAGTGCACTGCTGAGGGAGCCGTGGGAGACAGGAGAGTCTGCCGCGCCCTGGGGTCACCCCCTGGCCGGGCAGCGAGCGCAGGCGTGGCGGCGGTAACGCTGAGCCCAGGGAGGCCTCCCGCCCGCCCGCCGTGCTGTGCGCTGCGTCTTCCTGCCGTGCTGCGTCCTTTGCCTCGGGCCTCGCTGGATCTAGCGTGTGTCCTTCCCGGGCCAGGTCCCCCGAGGCGCCCGCGAGCTGGCCTCAGGCTGCTCGGGGCTCGCGCGGCTGCAGGGCAGCCACCCGGCTGGTCCTCGGCGCTCCCCACGGCGTCCCCGGGCTGGGCTCGCTTGGCCATCACGCTCCGCCTTGCCCTCAGGGTCCCCAGACACAGCTCGACACCAGAACTGAGTTGGGGGTCGGGGTGAACCTGGCGAGCCCACGGTTCCGAGGCAGCCCCGCGGGTGCCTGGCGTTTGGAGCCACCGGCGGCGGGGCCTCTGGGGTGGCCGCGCGGGGCCGGGCCGTGAGCTTTCCGGCCGCGGCGGCCACAGCGTGGACCGGGCCCAGGCCGCTTCATGGACTCCTGCCCGCCCGGGCGCCCTCAGGAGCCCTGGGAAACAGCCCAGGAGACCTCGTAGTTTGGGGTTTAGCTCTGCTGCCGAGTGGCAGCTGCTGACGTGGGACTTGCTGAGCTGGCGAGCCCCAGAGGGGCTCGTCGGGAGCCTGCGCGCCCTCGTGCGCGGCCACCCGTCACGGGGCTCCGGGCGAGTGCCCGGGCGGGTGCCCGCGTGCCTGCGGGGTCGGGGCGTGTGCGGCCTAGGGGACGCGCTCGGGGAGGGCCTGGCCGCCGGGCTCTGCGTGTGTCTGAGGGGAGGGGAGCCGGCCCCGGCCCTTGACCGCTCAGAGCCTGTGCAGACCCCTTCCAGAGCCGACGCTCGGGGAGCGACCGGCCGGCGACTCCGGCTCCTTCGGAACACCGTGTCGCAGAGGAGAGAAAGGCAGGCTCGCCACACGCCTCGGCACCCGCCGCCTCCACCCCTCAGATGTTGCCCATGCGGGTGCGCTGGCCCTGGCGCGGCCCGCAGCGGTGGAGCCTTCTGGGTCACGCCGCTCCCTGTGACCTCCGGCCCGGCGCGTTGGGGCCAGGCGCACACAGTGCAGCAGAGTGGCCGTGGCGCTCTCGGCTGCCGCCGCCGCCTCAGTAAACCGCACGCTGGCCGGCCGAGGCCACAGGGCCGCAGAGAAGCCCGGCACGGCCCTGCCCATCTGCCCATCTGCCCTGGCCCGTCTGACATGGCGGGCTCCCACCCTCACGCGGCGATACCTGAGCAGAGGCAGAGCATCGACAAGCAGCGGCGGTGTCCGGGGGTCGGTGGACGAGGCCTAGCTCGCATGCAGCTGCCCGGCCCGCACCGGGCACGCTGGGGTCCTGGCCTCTAGGGGAGGGAGGTCCTGCGTGCTGGAGCCCCGGGCCTCACGGGCTCTGAGGGAGCCCCAGGGCGCGGGGTGCCTGTGCTCTGTGCCGATCGCGGGGTTGGTCACTCCCGGGGCGGGCGGGGGCGGGGAGGCCTGGGCCGGGGCCTGAGGCTGAGGTCCCACCTTTCCGCCAAGCCAGGCCTTGGCCTTTCGCTGCGTAAGTGTTCTGATAGCTGTGACTGGTAAAAATGCGCAGACGTCAGTGATTTCCATTCCCAGAATCAGTTCCCGCAGGAACAGCAGACACTGGAAACGTGTGGCTGGCGGGGGAAGCCCCAGGCTGGGGGGCTTTGAGTGCTGGGGATGCGGGCCCCAGGGCCAGCTCTCCTGGCACGTGGCTGGCACTTTGTGGGGCGCTTTTCCATTGACTTGCTGGCATCTCACGTGCTTGGCCCTGCCCACCACCCAGGTCTAGGTGCCCTCGGGGTTGGGGGGGAGCCCCAGAGGGGCTCGGGGCTGGCGTTCGGGAGTGTCCGGAGTGAGTTGGAGAAAAGCCTGAATAGACTGAGTGGACGGAGCCCCGGGGACACTCCAGGGCCCGCCGAGCCTCTGTGTCCTGGACCCTCCGCAGGGCACCGCGTGGCCGTGCCCTCAGACCCCCGTGCCCGCCACCTGGCTGGCAGATGCGCTCACCACAGGGAGGCCGGGCCTCCCGGGACAGCGTGGCCTGGCGGGGCACGCTCGCTGCACCCCACTGGCTCTGTGGCTCCCCCACGACCGTGCACCGCCGTGGGCTCGGGACTCGGCGCGCATCCATGTCCCGGACCGCACCGGCCAGCCGCGCTCGGGTGCTGTCCACATCGCCAAGGGGGCAGAAGCCCTGAGAGGCGCAAAGAGCGCAGCGCGAAGTGAGGCCCCGGAGCATGGCGCGGCCCCTCTCCTCGGAGGCCAGCAGGGCCGCTCCAGGTAGCGTGGCCGGCGGGCCCTAGCGTGAGTTCTGCAGTGGCCGCCCGTGCCCTGCAGTGAGGCCAAAGCGCCCTCCCGGCCCTCCGCAAGCCTGCACGATGCCAAGGACGCCGGCGATGGGGCTGCGCCCGCGGCACATTCTCCTGATGTGGGGAGCGCCGAGGCCCTGGCGTGGCCGGAAGCCCTCCGGCTCCCCCAGCGCCCCTGCCCCGCGCTTGCTGCTTCCTGCTGGACCTTCGTGCTGTGCGGTGCTGAGCTGCCTCGTCACCTATTTAGGGTCCGGCTTTGTGAGCTTTGACCCAGCGGGCGCTGGGGAGGTGCAGGAGGCAGGGGCCAGGCCCATTCCAGGGGCAGAGGGCAGAGCGCACGCCTGAGGTCTAGGACTCTGCATGCAGGCGTGGCCCTGGCACTTTCTCCTCAAGGTCAAGTCATGTGTGCTGCACTTAGCTGCCTGCCTGCTCAGGTGACTCCCGGCTGGGAGCAGGGCTTCCTCCTGCTGGCCTGCGGGCCGGGCCCGAGTGGGCGAGGCAGCCTGGGCTGAGTGCAGCTCCGCGCCCGTCCCGTCTCCACCCCTAGAGTCGTCCCTGCCCTCACCCCTCACGCGACAGAGGTGATTCAGGTCACGTACCCTCGTGCCCGGCCGGAGCGGGCCGGCGCTCGGGAGGATGAGGCCTGGCCAGTTCCCTTTTCCCGGCGCTGTGCTCAGCTCTCAGACCAGCGTTGCCGACCGGCGGGAGGTGAGGGCGCTGGCACTGCCCGCTGGACGCGCGCAGCCTCCAGAGAGCGCAGGCTCGGAAGAGGAACGCTTGGGGTCTCAAAAAAAGGGGGAGAAGTAGTGCGCAGTGAGTGGACTCTGCGGCAGGCACGACAGCCTCGGAGGAGCTTCAGCCGCGAGGCCCTCGGCCGGCGGCCTCCGCGCACCAGAGGGGTGTTAGCCGTGTGCGGGGCTGCGGGCGCCCAGCGCCTTTGCGTCCCCCACTGGAGACGCCCCTTTGCTAGTTAGGGTCCGGCCGGCCTGGCGGAACCCTTAGCGCTCCCTGCTGAGTCATGGCTCCATTCCCTTTTATTACGGTGAATTTGATACGTTTATCTTCCTTATTTTTAGCCCAGTGAGGCCAGAGTCCGAGTCTTATCTCCCTTTCTTCCTCCGGCCCTGAAAATTGTGGCGCGTGAGCATATTTGAAGAGAGACATTTGCAGATGGTAATCTAGTGAAAGTGGGCGGGTATGGGCGGGTGACCTTGTGTGCTGGGCGCGGGGGTCAAGGCACGCTTCTGGCTTGCCCCTTCTGCCCAGCCGCGGGCAGGCAGGAGGAGAGCCCCCGTCCTCAGCATGGCGACTGCCCGCCGCTTTGCCCGCTCACCGGGGGGCTGACGCAGCCACTGTGCCTCTGCCCTCGTGCTGGGCACTGCCCCGCCGCCTGCTTCTCGGCGTGAGGCGGCGATTGGCGCGAGGTGGGGGCTCA